TCATGGGGCGGGGTTCGGGGCGCTCTCCAGGCCGCATGAGGCGCTCGCGGGCCTCCTGCGACCGCGGGACGTCGGCGGGGAGGTCTTGAGCAGCGGCTGCGACGACTGCGACTCGGCCATCCTGGCGGAGGCGTGCGAGGGCGCGCGGCGGCCACTCGCGGAAGGCGGCGCCGGCTTGCTGCGTGGGTGCGAGGCGGGCGGCGCCGGCTCGGTGGTGAAGCTGGTCTCCCAGGTGGGCAGCGGCGGCGGCGGCTCCTCGGCCAGCAGGCGCTCCAGCTGGCAGCAGTCGGCGCCAGACTCCAGCGACGGCGTCGAGTTCATCTCGGAGCGCACGGTGGCCAGCGAGTAGGACGACGTCAGCGGGATCAGGTAGTCCGTGGACGCCGGGCTCTGCGGCTCGTCCGAGCGCCGCGTCACCGTCAGGCACGCGTCGTTGTCCAGCGGCCGCATCACGGTGGCGTCGCGCTCGGCCGACGGAGGCCGCTGGAACACCGGCAGCGCGTGGCTCACGACGTCCGGGTCCTGCGGGAGAGACAAGGGACACGTGAGAGGCGCCGCTCGGGGGCGGGAGGCGCTCGCGGAGAGCCGACGAGGAAGCAGAGAAGGCAACATCTCGGCCGGAACACAGCAAGGCACAAATAAGAGAAATCCAGAGAGATAGATAGGTAGACGGGCAGATAGATAGATAGACAGAGAGACAGCGAGAGCGAAAGAGAAAAAGAGAATGTAAGAAAATGAGAAAGAAAGACAAAGAAAGAGAGAGAGAGAGAATCAGAGAAACTGGAAGAATAGAAAGAAAAAAAAAAAAAAAGAAAGAAGCAAGAAGAAAGAAGCAAGTAAAAACGAAAGAGTAAGAAAAGAAAGAACGAGAGAAAAAAAGAAGACGAAATAAAGAGCAAAAGAAAAAGAAAAGGAAGTAAGAGCAAATCAAAGGAACAATGCACGCCCTGGCATTCCTCCGGGCTCCGAAAACCTCCCAGGCAGCGGCACGACCTCGGAGACGCAGCAGCGCAGATGTTTTACGTGACAAGCTCAACGACTGCGCAGAAGGTCACAATGATTCCATAGTTAGCGCCCGTCGTCGGCTGCCTTTTATCTTATTCTATTTCATTATGATGATTAAACGAGGTCTTCGAAAAGCATAGAGTAGGAAGGCAATATCTATTCTTAATACGAATTAATTCTTTCTTGTCTGCTCTTCGAAGGAAACTTTGCACATTACAATAAGTCTGAAATGATACTGACAACTAGAGAAATGGAATTGCTTCACTCCATCAAGATGATCAAGAATGATTGAAATAATAAAATAATCTTTATTAACGATGACTGTTTTTTCTCGTTTCTTTGTCATATACTTTAATCTTTATGTATTCTTTATATCTCTCTCTGATTTTCCTATCAAGAAATGAGTAATCGGCACCCCCTTCGCAAGAACAGCTGATCAGCAGTAACAAATCTATACTTATAAGAATTCATTAGAGCTGGTATAATCATGATATGATATGTGGCGCATTTATTTTATGTATGAGGGTGGTGGGGGGAGGGGAGGGAAGGGAGTTGAGGATGAGGGGAGGGGTTGAGGGAGGGGGGTAGGGGGCAGGAGGGAGGGGAAGGAGGGGAAAGGATGGGGAGTGAGGGAGAGGAGGGGGGGGGGAAGGGAGGGAAGGAGGAAGGGAGGGGATTGGAGGGGGGAGGGAGGGGAAGGGGGGAGGAGGGAAGGAAGGGTTGAGTGAGGGAAGGGAGTGAAAGGAAGGGGAAGGGAGGGGAATGGGAGGGAAGGAGGGAGAGAAGGAGGGGAAGGACGGGAAGGGAGCAAGGGGAGGGAGGGAAGGAGGAGAAAGTAGTGAGGGAGAAGGGGGAAAGAGATGAGGATACGGGAGGAGGGTGAAAGGGGGAAAAAATGAGGGAGAAGCAGGGGAAGGAGGGGAAGGAAGGGGAAGGAGGGGAAGGGGGAGAAGGTAGTGAGGGAGGAGGAGAAAGAAGTGAGGGAGAGGAGAGGGAGGGTGAAGGGAGCGAGGGAGAGGGAAGTAGGGGAAAGAGAAAAGAGGGATAAAGGGGAAAGTGAGGGGAAGGGGTGGCGAAAATAGGGGAAAGGGAAAGGAGAGAGGGAGGAAAGAGGGTGAGGAGGGAAAAGGTATGATAAAGGAAGGGATGGAGGGGGAGAGTAAAAGGAGGGACGGGAGTGAAGGAGGGAAAAAGGGAAGCACGTAAGCGGAGGGAGGAACAGGAGGGAAAAAAGATGGGGGGGAGGGTATGGGGGTGGATGTGACGCCCTCCTACGCCCGCAAGAAGCAGCACTGATGTAAACCCGACACACACACACACACTCATGCATATGTGTGGCTATATGTGTGTGTGTGTGTGTTTATGTTTACATGTGTGTGTGTTTACATGGACGTGTCTACGTTTCCAAGTGTACATCTGTTTGTGCGCTTGTGTACCAGGTGTGTGTGGCTGTGTGTGCATGTAGACGTGCTCTTATATCCTCATACAAGTTGAAGCTCGCTCGTCCGTCAGCTTTAAGGATTTGGGAAGTGATTTCAACATAATGTGATTCGAGTGCCTGACCAGTGCCACTTGTCCAGCCGAGGCACCATCGCCTTCCAGCTGTCAACGCCTGACGCAGCTGGCTTGCAATGGTTGGCGCTGTTGCTACCGCCTTCCTGCTAATTCACCCATAGATAGGGAGTATCCATATATGCTTACGTATCTATATCTTTCTGTCAGTCTATCCATCTATATGTATATGTCTATATCAATCACTATCTATGTACACATACCACACACACACTATGTATATATATGTATATATATGTATATTTAAAATTAATATAAAAATTTTTATTAATAAATATTTTTATATATATATATAATAATAATATATATATATATTATTATATATAATATA